ATGTAATGCAAGGAAAGTTATTTCAGAAGTGTACACATCTTTTTTACTGCAGTGTACTGTCTCTGGGCGGTAATGTAAACACAAGACGGATGTCAAAGCCTGACATGGGATCCATCTTTCACATACAAAATCAATAAAATATTCTGGTCATAGGAAACTATTATGTGAATTACCAAGATTATCAAAATTTAATGCTTTTAACTTCCTCGATACTAAACGAACACTGATGCATCTATTCTTGTTTAGAAATTCCGCCCAAAGGTTCGAAAGTATGGGATCTCTAATTGTCAAACTCTTGACTTATGAATGAAGTTCTTCCATATTTCTTTTTTATTTTGGCAGTAGGGTATTCACTCTTTGAACTATTTACTAAATAGATCCATAAGTACTTCTGCGTGAGATTTGTTAAGATTAGAACTAGCTTCTGTTAGCACACACTACCCACCTGAAAGTAGGATTGATATTCAGTATCAGGACAAAAATCAAAATGTTCTTTTAATGATTTATTAAAACAACCATGAAGAGCGGAACTAAACTAAAGAGAGTACGATGAAAGTGACATTCTGTTTATAAAAAATGTCCGATTTAAAATGGTTCCCGGCCGTAAAAGCTTTGCCTTATCAAGAATAAATGCATAAAATAAATAAATAAAAGATAATATATTCCACATTATTGGCCAGATAAAGGTGTTTAGGGTACAATGTCACGTTATCGCTTGAAATTACGTCTGAAGTGCCTTTAATGCAGACAGGTACTAAAGCAAAAATAAATGGACTAAATTGAAATTTTTTTGTCACACTAATTACTTGGTTCAAAAATCCATTTTCTCGAAAAAGTAAATTACGGCAATCGCTCGGTCAAAATAATATCCAAATATCTTACAACTTATCCGCTGCTCGGTTTTCTAAAGACTGAACCATACTGTACAGTATTCATAAGTTTAAAAACCGGTTTTCTTCACTACGTGCAATATTGGTAATAAGATATCATTTATGGCTCCGATGTAGTGTACATTCATTTTAGATAATTTGATTTGCTTTACTATGATTTGGTTTGGTTTGGTTTGATTTGGTTTGGTTTTCAATTTCCGGTTATTTATGCATTGTTAAATTGACCAGAGACAACACTCTGAAGAATGGTCTGTACGAAGATTAGGTAATTTCACGCACCAGATATTTTTATTGACCAATTTTACCAATTCTATCAATTTTACTCATTTTACTATACTCCCTTCTCTCTCTCTCTCTGGTTGCAGAAATTGAAGGTGAGCCGGGTTTTTTTTTGTAAATATAAAACAATAACAAAAAAGTTTGTATTCTAATCCCTTGTAGACAAGGGAAAAATGCATTTTGACACATATTTCGGATTTTCTTTCTCCCAATATTATGCATGTAACTATTTGTTTTCCATGCAGAGGTTTTAAATTTTCTCTGATAAGTTATAATGAGGAATGATGATGTAGCTGCTTTTTCATCCAGCTATTGTTCATATTTTATATATTGTTACAGGTTGGAAAAATAAAAGTCACTGCTAAGCAGGGTTTGAAAATTCTGAGGATATCCATTGTCAGAATTCCGCCTTAATAATGACAAATGGGATAAGAAAGGTTAGGCAAGAAGTGGGTGTTTTCGACAAAAGAATTATTGATTCTTGTAAGTTCATCTCGAACAGTGCTTCAGAATACGGCCTCTTCTACAGCAATCTTTTTCATGCAGAGTATAAACCAGTATCATAGTGCATGGTGAACAACCTAGCAGGATTATATTTTCTATGTTTCCATTTTCCTTGTTTCTGGCAAGTCGGAGGGGGGAGAGAAGCATAGAGACAAATACAAATTCACAATCTCACTATTTGTCTGTTCGAATTCACTTATCTAATCGCAAATGGGCGAAATGACATTTTTGTCTCGGTTTTCTCATCTTTCTCTAGAGATAAAACACGCGTGCACTAATGAAAGGATAACATAGTTTAATGCGTTATGACAAACTTCAATCAAAGCTTGAAAAATGTAAAGAGAGTAACTTTCTTTAAAAAAAATATAGAACATTTTCGAGCAATGTTTGTGACATTTTCAAAAATGTTCAGTTTTTTAATCTATTTCCAAAGTTTAAGTTGACGCCAATGTACTGGGTTAAAAAATGTCGAATCTCCGGAAAGCCTTGATGCATTTCTAAAGAAGTTTATTTAATCGTTTAAAATTGTTTCAACATTTCAAGAAACTTCGTTTTAAAATTCTTCATAACACTAGTTTCAGTTTTTACGCACCTAACCCCCATATAGATTAGGAATAATATTTTTTTGAAGGAATGTTTTTTCTCGATTTCTTTCTAGGAGCCAAAAACTGATTAAATCCTAAGATCCAAGAGGGAATAAGAGGCATTAGAAAAGATATGCATTGAGTAAGAAATGTTCAATTAATCGTCCACGTGTTGTAAATGCATAAACTGCGCCATTTAACAGTTAACTTTCGTATTTTCGCGCATTTTCTGTTTAGTTAAAAACAAAACTTAATCCGGATATGTTTAGGAATTGAACTTGTGCAATCTAAAGTATTTTAAATAAACAAACTGAGGAATCAAGTGCATATATTTAAATAAATTGAAAACGTCAAAACTATTTTCATTTTTGATTTAAATCAATAATTCTATTTTGGATTTGTATTTACAAGTTTAATCCATGATTAGATTAGTATTGTTATTATTCGTCCCTGGGGGTACTTTAGGTATCTCAGTACAGATTAGTCAGTTCATCAATTCAAACTCAAATCATGGTAGGATGTATTTTTGTTTATGTAGATGAGTGTTACCACACACTCCACTAGACAGTAGGAGAAAGAAATGTTTATGCTATATTCCTGCTACGACTTTGTGACTTTGTAGTTCCTCTAGTTTTGATTTTACGAAAATATATGATATGAAACGTTTTTTTTGTTACTTATTAGAAAATCAAAACATCTATGTTCTTCTCAAAAGGTTTGAAAAAAATATATTTTTGAGGGAAAAAATCGATTTTATAGAGAAAACCAATCTAATTTGTTGTACTCAAGGGTTCCCTCAAACAAACAAATATATATATATATATATGAGCGAAAAGCTTTATTGTATAGATTTGGGGTATGTAGTAATGTAATGGACTCCATTATGATTTCCACAATTTTTCACAATAATGAAGAATTAATTACTCACCCGATATCTTTGTAACCTAGGGTCGTAGACCTTTGATATCTCTATCTTCGAATTCTGACATATCAAATAGTCTTTAGTTTGTAAGTTTACACCATTAGGTTGCAAAAGCATATGAATTGAAAAATTCAAGTTTGTGACAAGTCATCAGTTCCCTTTTTTTCAAACATTTGGCCAGTACAAAGTACAAAGTACAAAGTACTATGTACAAAGTACAAAGTACTATGTACAAAGTACAAAGTACTATGTACAAAGTACTATGTACAAAGTACTATGTACAAAGTACTATGTACAAAGTACAAAGTACAAAGTATCGGAAATTTGAATGCCGTCACCAGTACACAAACGAGATTTAAGCTGATAATGAGCCTAAAACTTAAGACATTGTATCGTTATGAAAACCCGTCTTGAAATTCGGATTTCACGAATGGGNTGGCAGAATTTTCTCTAAATTTTCTAATATCTTCAAAGTTTTATAAAAGGATGAAATCTGAGGAAAACTTAACCTGAAAATCCTCCAGATTATAAAGATGTTTACATGAAAACAGTTCTAAGAAAAATTCTTAGATGCGAAAACTTTTATAAAGTTTAATTTTTTTTAAATTTTAAAGGGATCACTTAGTTAGTTAGCATTTTTGTTTGCCGTTTTTTTATCTGATATTAATCGTAAAGAAATTAAGTATTTGCCACAAACTCTGATTTAAATCCTTATATCTTTACAACCCAATGTCGTAGACCTTAGATATTTAAAACTATGAATTTTGTTAGATAAAATAATCTAAGTTTAAAATATCAAAGGTTTACACCATCAGCTTGCAAAGATATTGAGATGAGAAAATTTGAGTTTGTGGCAAAAACTCAATTTCTATTATTTACCATTTCAACTTATTAAAGAAATCTTCCAAAACAATTAACAACAGTCTATACTTACCATTATAATATTCAAATATTCTGTTTTAAAATTAACTTTAAAGAAAGTGAGCAATTGCCGAAACAAACTCTCATTTTCTAATATCAAGGAATTACATCATAAGGTTGCAAAGATAAAGGATTTTGAAAACTAGTTTCTGGCAAGAACTCAGTTTCTGTCTAAAGTATTAACCTTTGATAGTTTGAAACAGAGTGAAAAAATATATATCAAATTGTTTTTAAAAAAGTGTTCGATCCCTTTAAATAAAATTAAAATCATTTTGCTCCTCAGCTAAGATTTTATGGATTTAACTTTAACAATAAACAATTTATTTTAAATATTTAAATATGGTGACTTGCCTTTGATATTTTAAATTTCTTATGAACTAGGCTCGCTCGCCCATCTTATATTTTAATTGAAAATTTTCTCTTTGTATACATTGTAAGACAAAAACAAACAAGAAACCACGGATTTTGAAATTTTATTGGAAATCGAATTTTATTGTAGGCAAATTTTTGAAATTTTGATCATTCATAATCCTTTTCTAGGGTCATGTGAGGTACCACAATAAATTTGGGCCCGATCGGTTCAGCCTATATGACGTTTATTGGAAACAAACAAACGGACAGACACCAGAACGGACAATTGCAAAGTATATATAAAGATATGCGTCTTCCGAACATGCCTACGCAATTATTATGTAAAAACATGTGACGGGAAATATCGTAAAAACGGGTAAAATTTAGATTTATGAATATAAACATTTTTATTTAAATATCCAGATTTTTCTGTGTCAGATAAGAACGCAATTGTTAGGATAAAAGTACACGTGCAAACTTGAATTCTACGCCGCTAATCCTTAAATTCAAACTTATTCTTCAAGAAATGGGGTTAAACTGGGTTCAGTAGACATCGAGTAACAATCAAGCAGAGATCTTGAATATAATCTTATCTTTTAAATTCTTAATTTTTTTTAAATTTTGAAATCTAGATTTAAAGTAAGGTCTGAAAAAAGTCATATGAACTATTCAAAGACGGGTTGACAGACCCCAACTTAAATCCTATTTGAGAGTGTTTAAAGAATGAGGAGGAGAAATAATAATCTCCGGGCTAGGTTTCTCCTAGCTCCCTTTCTCCTAAACCAAACGCTGGTATCCGGAGTAATTCCAACCGGAAAATTCTCCTCTCTCACACAAGGTTCAATCTAAACTTATTTTGAAATGTTTAAATCGTAAAATAATAGTTTTGCTTTCACTTTAGGCATACAGGCATACAGGCATACAGGCACCTAGGCTGACAAGGATATATATATTTTATGAGATGACAGAATAAGGAATAAAAGTAAAATGACTAAATTACATTTGATTAGCAGGTGGTTATATATAAAATATACAATATAGGATATACAATATAGGATATACAATATAGGATATACAATATAGGATATACAATATAGAATATACAATATAGGATATACAATATAAAATATACAATATAGGATACAGGTTATAGAAACCGGTTCCACTACAGGATACAGGATACGGTATACATGATACATGATTTAGGATATAGGATACAGTATACAATATAGGGTATAGGATACGAGATACAGGAAACAGGTTAGAGAAAACAGAGTAAAATACCGCATATCTTGTGCTGGAAAGTTTATTTAAGGTTCTGAACTCTAATCCAGGATTCTTCTATATTTATTGTTCCAAGGAAGGAGACAAATAATATTATTTTATTTCCTAGGTTTGCAGAGCGATATCTGCGGAGAGAACGAGTTCAAGTGCCTGGACGGATCCAAGTGTATTCCAACCCGTTGGTCCTGTGACGGGGAGAGGGATTGCGGAGATGGAAGTGACGAGGATGAGAAGATGTGCTCGGCCAGGTCCTGTTCCAAGGACGAGTGGAAATGTAAACCTGGACAGTGTCTCCCCTTGTCCTGGCTATGCGACGGACACCCGGACTGTGACGATGGTTCGGACGAATCCGTCTGTAGTAAATCGTGTGGGGTAGAGGAGTTTCAATGTACAAACGGATTATGTATCCAACCTTTGTGGCGATGTGACGGTGAAGACGACTGCGGAGATGGTTCCGACGAACAAAAATGCAGTCAGCCGTTGAAATGCGGGAAAACTGATTTTGAATGCCGGGACGGACATTGCATACACAAGAGGTTTGTTTGTGACGGAGATTCAGATTGTATGGATGGAGAAGATGAGTTAAACTGCAGCGAACACTCTGAAACTCTGATTGGAAACTGCACTGCTCTCGAATTTCGATGCAGAGATCAGCATTTCTGTGTCCAGTCCAAGTGGGTTTGCGATGGACAGAGAGATTGCCCGGACGGGAGTGATGAGAGCGTTGAGGAGTGCGGGATCAAGAAGGAATGTTCTCCGAGTGAGTTCAGTTGTGACTCCGGAGAATGTATTACCGGTGTTCTCCAGTGCTCTGGAGCTAGGGACTGTAAGGACGGATCCGATGAGAATAATTGTGGTAAGATGAATCTTTATTTCTAATTAGTGTTGTCGCGATTTATGCTCTTTGCTCTGTGTTGCTGTGGAGTTTAAAAAATTCAAACGTTATTTAGCCATTGTTTAACTATGAATTTACTAAAAAGAGCAGAGTACACAATATCCATTATCCAGTATATAATTGATGCACAGGTAACCCTGTTGCAAGCTGTGATCCTGTATCTGAGTTTGACTGTGGGGACGGAAAGATGTGTATCCCCCTGGAGAAAACATGTGACGGGAAGAACGATTGCGGGAGTTGGGAGGATGAACCTAAATCATGTCGGAAGAACGAATGTTTAACCAACAATGGTGGTTGTGAGCAGGTAAATATAAACAAAGATAAATCTATTTATCTATTTCTCCGAACCTAGATATTCATTCACGGAATTATTCATGTTCACAATAGAAACTTATTTTTACCTTCCCAGCACACTCCTATTCAATATTTGCATGCTCTTACGCACAAATCGAGCAGTATTTTTCCAATTACTCCTTTTAAACTTCTATTCCTTACTCCCTGGTTGTATCTTAAAGATTGTAGCTACTATTTAAGATTTTGTTGCTATACAGTGGTTGTAGGAGTTAGTTATATATGATGGCATGGCTACAAGTTTCAGTTTCTGTTTTGATTGGTTGTTTGTAGCTGCAACGCTGGTAGCTTACTAGCTGTAGCTGTTGTAGCTTTATGCCCTGGTTTTAGGTGTTAGCTGAAGCCATGTGTTTGATAGATATTTGCTTGTACCCATTGAATTTACCTTATGAGTTGTAGAGTACTGGTTGCACGTTTTGCAGCTTAGTGGCTGGGTTTTAGGTAATTGATATTGCTGTGTAAAGTAGCTTTTTTACCATAGCTATATGGAATTGTAGTTATGTTAGTAGCTGTATTTTGTATTGTGTATCTTTATTTGATATTGTATTTGATGAAATCCTATTTGTGCTGCGGGCCTATGAGCTTTATGAGACTATTAAGCAATATCACTTTGCAATAACATCTCAACCAAGCTCCCACACCACTTTTCCAAATTTACAAAATCAGGGAAAATAGGATTTTATTTCATATTTCAGAAACTTTTTCTATAAAAAGCGTTAAAGGCAAAATTGAAAAGCGGAAAGGCTTTTTCCGTTGAAAGATGATCAGGATTTTCTATTGAACATTACAATCATGAATCATTAAAAAGAATGTTTTTTACCTAATAAAAAGCCATTAAAAATGGAGAGGGTACAAATGGTCGAAAAACAAAATGGCGATGCTACAAAATATCGAACGAAAAAATTTCGAATATCAAATGTCGATGTTACAAAACGTAGAATGAAAAATCGTCGAAATTTGAAAATGTTGAATAATACTAAATATCGAATGTTACAAAACGGTGATATTACTAAAGGCAAAAGTTTTCAGATATCCGCGAAGTAAGTTTTTTTTCTAAGTTTCGTCGTTTTATATCTTAAACGTTTTCTTTCATTCTATGTTTTGTTATTTGACCTTTTGTTGATAGAAATTTGATTTTTCGACGTTTTATACTTTTCTGTATTAAAGCCATGCAATAAAAGACGACATTTCCGCAAAGGCCATAAGTAAACTTTGATTTAAAGATGGGGTAGCAACGTGTTTGAAAATTCTTTGTTTATATTTTTCTCTTGTAACAATTCTTTATTTGCTTGTCAAATCAAATCAAATCAAATCAAATCAGACTTGCCCTACATTAACAATCTTGATCTGACTCAAAATTAACAATTCAACTTATAAACTTTTTTATCTTACTATCAGTCTCTGTAATGCACGGTTTATCTGTATCAAGGTATGCCTGGATACACCAACCAGCTACAAGTGTGCCTGTCAGCCTGGATACAAACTAGGGTTCAACAATACCTGCCAGGGTCAGTACATTATATAAAACATATTCGCAACTTTGAGACATGTTTACCACTACTTAATATCTAATATTGATATCTTTTTTAAGGCTTTTTTCGCACACTTATGTATAAAACAGTTCTGACGCATTTTTAGCAAACCTATTCTTAACAGTAGTTACTTTAGATCAAATCCTTTTCACTTTTATCAATGCGCAAATTCTAAGTTTATATTTCCTTTAGAACTCTGTGAAATTTCAATCAAAGATTTATGATGAAATTATATAAATCTAGATTATATATAAATCTAGATATGAATGAATGTGAAACTCCCGGCTCCTGCTCTCAAGTCTGCCTGAACCAACCTGGAAGCTTCAAGTGTGAATGCCTACCTGGATACAGGAAGGTTAGTTCCAGGTTTTATATGATTCTTTATCTCTAAATTGTAACTCATGTTTCCACTTGATTAATCTGATAGGAGCGCTAAGGATCCTCAGATCATATCCGGATTATAACGGGATGAATAAAATGACCCTGATGAATGGATCAGTAACATTTTGCCTTGTTTCACTTTGCCTAGTCACATTTTGCCTAGTAACATTTTGTCTTGATAACATTTTGCCTTGATAACATTTTGCCTTGGTTACATTTGGCCTTGGTAACATTTTGCATTGATAACATTTTGCCTTGGTAACATCTCTCTATAATTTTGCCTTGAATAAGTAAAAACTATTTATTATTATTACAATACATATATATAACCTGCTAGGATTGACAATGGACTTTTTGTTGAAACTTTAAGCATCATCATCTTTCATAGCCAGGTCATGAGCAATCATTCTGATGTAGTCTGAATTCAGGATGGTATCATAACTCTCTGCTACATATTTTAACCTGCCCAGGCCGTCTAAGGATTTCTGTTTTCTTCCCCTGTTGGTTGTTTTGTCTTGTCCAAGTGCATTAGACATAAATGAGCGTCTTGTATTATTGTAGTAAGATGTTACCAAGGCAAAATGTGACTAGGCAAAATGTGAGAAGGCAAAATGTTACTGAGCTAAAATGAATAGAGAAAACGGGGCGAATGAAATGACCTATCTGAAACTATATGAAATGACCTATCTGAAACTATATGAAATGACCAATCTGAAACTATATGAAATGATCTATCTGAAACTATATGAAATGACCTATCTGAAACTATATGAAATGACCTATCTGAAACTATATGAAATGACCTATCTGAAACTATGAAAAAAAATTGAGTCTGCCACAAAGTCTGATTTTCTAATCCCTATATCTTTTCAAGCCAATGTCGCAGACCTTAGATACTTGACACAATGAATTCTGTAAAATTAAACAGTGCAAGTTTAAACAATTGGGTCTAATTTTGGCGGACTGTGTTCTTAGGATAAGTATTTCAAACTGCTTTGTCAATTAATAATAGAACTGAGTTCTTGCCACAAACTCAAATCTGTGATGGCCCTGAGTGTCGCCATTATATCATTGAACGATGTGTTATCTTTTACTAATATTAATGATAAGATACAAAATCGAGTCATGCAGTGTTTTGAAAACTTTATAAAATCTAAATTAAAAATCTTTATTTATTGATGTATGATGTTACAAATTTGTTTAGTTAATTTTTCAAATACTAGGCGTTTAGGGACCTTCGAGTACCTTCGTAATTAGCGTATAAATGTTGCTTTGCCACAAAATTTTCTCATCCTTGTATCTTTGCAACCAAATGGTCCAAACCTATGATATCTTAAACTTGTATTATTAGATTTAACAGAACTCTTTGTTTGAATTATTTAAGGTTTACGACATTATTATGCAAATATATAGGAATTAGAAAACCAAAGTTTGTAGCAAAGACAAAATTCCTTTGTGCCTAATCGTTTCTGCCGTTTTAACGTTTTTTTGGATAAAAACAAGCAAAATAGAGAGAGATATGAGACAACGCAAAGAAAGTATATTACCAATCTTTCTGGGGAAAAATATATTTTATGTTTTGTGCTTTTGTCTTGCATAAACAAATAAAATAAATGAATAATGGTTTGTATGCTCTATGTATGGTCTATTATAATGCATGGCTGGAGAACAGTCTTGTAATAAAACTGTTTATATAAACATGGTTATACACTGCCAAAACAATTCTAATAGTATCCTTAGAGACCCGGAGTAAAAGCTGCAAGGGGTGTTCATTTTTAGAAAATGTGAATTGAGAGATCCAACAAAATTTTAAAAAAGAAATTCTTTAGGTTTATGCGTTTATAGATAAAACATATGTTTACCCTCATAAATCGATAAATGTAATTTTATCAAAACATAAAATCAACTGAGATTTGAGAACGATTTGGGAACTAAACCTTCTCTTATTTTTGATCATCTAAAAAGAAAAATCCTCTTTGTTGGGTCCTGTGAATACAGCTTTCACAACCAACTTTGCTTATCTTGATCAAATTCTTTCAGAAAATAATTTTAAATGACCTCAAATATTTGTTGATTTTTAAAAGTATAACATTTCAATACTGGAATTGAAAAAATTAAGTTTTGCAAAGTTTTTTTTATAAACTGTTGTGTCTAAGTAGAGGAAAAACTTTAAGTTTTCTTCAAATAAAGTATTCAATATCCGGAGCTTTTCACCTTTAGGAAATAAACCATTGCATTTTTTCACACATGGTAGGAAAATTATATTATAAAATAAAATATTATTTTTTTTGGAAAAATAGATATTCTAAATCAGACTTTAGATCAACAGAAATTGTTAACATGATTTTAGTGAGCTGCCAACTACAGAATAACAGGATCGTTTTTTTATCTATTTTTTTTTTACCTGAAAAAGGTGAATTTTTACAGCAAAGATGACAATTAGAAAATATAACATTTAATATTTTTAGGATACTCATCAACCCTCTAGATGTAAAGCAGAGGAAGGTCATCTATCCCTGCTATTCTCTCATAAGAGCGATATAAGAAAACTATCCCTGGAGAGGAGATCCTTGACATCCATCGTGAACTCAACCAGGTCCTCCTGCGCCCTGGACTACGTCTTCAAGACAGGGATGATATTCTGGTCTGACGTCATGGAGGAGAAAATATACACCGCTCCGATAGGAAAGAAAACAATCTTTTCCGTACAAGGTCCAAAATAGTTGTTGTAAGTTGCGTACAATAATCTCAAACTGGAACGCATTGCTGACTGCGTAGCGCGAGTAAAACTTTTATTTCTTTATTTTCAATTTTTCAATTTTAACCGCGTCAAAGGGATTTGTGTAAAGAAGTAACCAAAATAATTGATTGAATGTCGTCAACGCTCTTTCATTTGAGAAGAATTGCCGGTGATTGTATTGGTATGTTGTGACTGAAATATACTGATATTTCTCTACGAAAAGGATTTCTAGAGAAAAAGCAATTAAAAATCACGCAACCTCCAGAAATATGACTCTAGAACAAACAACAAAGACGATAATCATTTCGGTATTTTAGTCTTTATTGTATAACAGTTCTCCTGAACTATTACCATTCAAATCTCTATAATATGTTGATTTTATTTACTTCTTCGTAAAGTATTTTATTTGTTTGAAAGCTTTCTCGTTAAATATTTGTAGGAATATATTTATAGTTTGAGAATTACAAGGGGGTTAATGCATGGTTCTTTTAGTTCATTTATCCATCCTTCTCTCTTCAATATATTTACAGTTTGGGAATTACAAGGGGGTTAATGCATGATTCTTTTAGTTCATTTATCCATCCTTCTCTCTTCAATATATTTATATAGTTTGNATTTGTAGGAATATATTTACAGTTTGAGAATTACAAGGGGGTTAATGCATGGTTCTTTTAGTTCATTTATCCATCCTTCTCTCTTCAATATATTTATATAGTTTGAGAATTACAAGGGGGTTCATGGGTTCATTTACTTTATTTAACCATCCTTCTCTCTTCAATATATTTATATAGTTTGAGAAGGGGGTTCATGGGTTCATTTACTTTATTTATCCATCCTTCTCTCTTCAATATATTTATATAGTTTGAGAAGGGGGTTCATGGGTTCATTTACTTTATTTATCCGTCCTTCTCTCTTCAATATATTTATATAGTTTGAGAATTACAAGGGTATTCATGGGTTTATTTAATTTATTTATCCATCCTTCTCTCTCCAATAACTCGAGCTTCTCTAATTTATCTATATTTTTTTGTTGTTTAATAGTTTTATTTTTTAATTCCTTCAGATAAAATATGTATTAAAGCACTATGCTTGTTTCAAACAAATCTGTTTTATTTTGCCCCAATTCACTCCAAATTTTACTTAGTTTGGTTTGATATTTTCATTAGAATTCTAGTTTTTGTTTTTTTCTTTTCTTCCCTTAATGATAACATTCATTACAGTACGATTCATTTTCAATTTTAGTTCATTTCTGCTTAGTTCAACAATTTTTCACGAGTTTTTTCTCCAGGTTTTGAAGCTTTAAAATGGTTTAATTTTGAGTCAGGTTTTGCTCTAGGTTCAGTTTAGATCTAACAGGTTTACTCCTACCCCTGCACTGCACTGTATGGATAGTCAGAAAGTTTAATTCTATTGGAAGTTTGTATGAAACTTTTGACAGACGGATAACACTGATGTCAAGTTTTTGATTAGAAACTAAGATAACCTTTCAAACATCTAAACTCATCAATGTCAAGTATTTCTTTTTTAAATAATCAAATTCCAACAAATATACAAACACCGAGAAACTCAAAAAATAACCATCGCTGATCCAAAATTTTGATTTTTTTTTGTAATATCCAGGGAATCGATTTTCGACTTATACTCAAAGAAGTGATAGTACCATAAAAAGTATGAGGTCCATGTAGAAAATATGTACACCTTGAAATAACTGAAATATAGAGCTTTTCAATGACATCTAGATTGTGAAAATTAAAGAGAAATTGTTACCTCAGCAGTCAGCACCCAATACCCTTAAGCAAAGTTTTTTTGAGACACCCTGTATGTAATTATCATTTTGTACTTTCCTCAGAACATAAAGAAATTGTTTCCTTACTATAGACGAGGGTTGGAGGAAGGAAGTAGTTGTAACTAGCTCCGTTCTGACTGCAGATGGTCTAGCAGCAGACTGGATCTACTCCCATCTTTACTGGACGGATACAGGGACTAATACTATCTCTATGTCGGATTTCCAAGGGAAGATGATTTCAGTTCTTGTCAAGGATGATCTTGAAGAACCAAGAGCTATCGCTCTTCATCCCAGACTAGGGTAAATATCAAAGTTGTTTATTAAGGTTGACACTCGATGCGCTCTAATGTACGGGAAATGACGTCTCCCAACTAATGTACAGTAAAATTCGTAATTGACGTCACTGACTTCATAGACTCACCTCTTTGATCAGTGACGTCAATTACGGAGTCCATTACTGAGGAGACGACATTTTTCGTACATTGGAAAGTAAGCTACTTTGATAAACAACCTTAGTTAATATTCATTTTATCCTAGAGTTTTTTCTCCATTAATTGTTCTTTTTGATAATTCCAATTATAATCTTGTTCTAAAACCATTTCTTCTTTTTCATATAAAGGAAGTGTTCGCGGAAAATGATGCGTGATATAGGATTTAACATTCTTAATTTATTTTATCTTATTAATCCAATCCGAATTTTTTGTCACACGAACTTAAGAATACCCGTTCTTATTAATCGATCCTAAAGCAAAGCAACGCAATACTAAATGCTCTAATAAGGTGTCAGATACTTTCTCAAAGGCATTTTCCCAAGGGCGACGTTTCCCAAGTGACAATTTCCCAAGAGCAACTTCCCAAGTGTGTAATTTCCCCAGCGGCAACTTCCCAAAGGTTAAGTTAGGCCCTCTGAAGCGCCGCAGGCTGCAATGGGGCCGAGCTTTGTGGCTTGGATGGTCTAGGAGTCCGAGCGCTGCGGCTAGGAAGGCTTGGGAAGTTACCGCTTGGGAAATTACACATTTGGCAAGTTGCCACTTGGGAAAATACCCTCGGGACATTACCACTTGGGAAAAATTCTTTGGGAAAGTACCTATAACATCTCCAAAAAGAACCCAGTTTTTGTACTGCCTTTAGGAGTCTATAAAGGAAAGTTTAACATTTTCTCTTTTACAAAATAATTTTCATTAATGTAGAACCGCTTTCATTTTCGTGACCACTCACTTTAAGTTTAATGAAAAAGAAATGTTGGAAACAAATAAAATACATGTTCAGTTTGTGTTCTTCTAATGAAGAATGGTGGAAAAGTCAGATCCGAACCAAATTAAACACAAACAAACTTTTATAACAAACTTGAGATCTCTGGTGGTTTAATTCTAGTATAATCCAACCTTGATGCATCCTTCGTTTTTATCATACATACATCCTTGATTTTATTTCAAATACATCTTTGATTTTCAATTCCAATACATTCGTGATTTTCAATCCCAATACATCCTTGATTTTCAATTCAAATACATTCGTGATTTTCAATCCCAATACATCTTTTCTTTTGAATTCAAACACGTCCTTTATTTGCAGTTCTAATACATCCTTGATTTTCAATTCCAATACATTCGTGATTTTCAATCCCAATACATCCTTGATTTTCAATTCAAATACATTCGTGATTTTCAATCCCAATACATCTTTTCTTTTGAATTCAAACACATCCTTTATTTGCAGTTCTAATACATCCTTGATTTTCAATTCCAATACATTCGTGATTTTCAATCCCAATACATCCTTGATTTTCAATTCAAATACATTCGTGATTTTCAATCCCAATAAATCTTTTCTTTTGAATTCAAACACATCCTCTATTTGCAGTTCTAATACATCCTTGATTTTCAATTCCAATACATTCGTGATTTTCGATCCCAAAACATCCTTGATTTTTAATTCAAATACATCCTTGATTTTCAATCCCAATACATCCTTGATTTTCAATTCCAATACATTCGTGATTTTCAATCCCAATACATCCTTGATTTTCAACTCAAATTTATCCTTGATTTTCTATTCAAATTCATCCTTGATTGAATTGTGATGCATCTTTAATTAAAAAGTGATGCATCCTTGATTCGACAGTGATGAATCTTTGATTCGACAGTGATACATCCTTGATTTTTAATTCAGATTCATTCTTAATTCAGAAGAGATGCATCCTTGATTCACTTGAGATGCATAACAGTGATGCATCTTTGATTAGATTATGATGCATCCTTTATTTAATATTTATGCATACTTCATTTGATAGTGATTTATCCTGAATTCTAAAGTAATGCATCTTTAATTTGATAGTGATTCAGCCTGAATTATATAGTAATGCATCCTTAGTTTGATAGTGATGCACCTTGCATTCTAAAATGATGCCACATTACTTCTTACTTTTTTAATAATGAAAATTTCTTAATCTAATTGATTATTTCTTGATTTGATGTAATTAGATCCTTGATGCAGCATTGATTGCATCAATACTGTTGCATCCTCTATTAAAAAATTATCAACTTTTAATCATTGATACGATTATCATTATCATTATCATTATCATTATCATTATCATTATCATTATCATTATCATTATCATTATCATTTTTGAGAAGGTTTCTCGTTAACAATTTATTTTCTAAACCTTGTTTATTTTCAGCTGGATGTTCTGGAGCGATTGGGGATCCAAACCCAAGATAGAGAGAGCAGGGATGGATGGATCGCATAGATCAACAATCCTCGAGGAATCCCTTCACTGGCCAAACGGGATCACCCTTGATATAATCCTGGATCGTATCTACTGGATTGATGCGAAACTTAACCTCATTGGATCAGCAGATCTGGACGGATCTAACTCAAGGGTAGGAAAATATTAGCTGTAAGTTCTATAAACCTGGTTGAGGAGGGAAAGGAGGGGAGGGGAAGGGGGGAGAAAGGTGGAATCAGAGGTAGGAAAGAGGGATGGGTAGGATGAAAAGGAAGGGAGGGGGAAGTGGATGGAAAGGGATTGATGTGGGGGGAGAAGAAGGGAGTGGTTGGGCTGGTGGGTTGAAAAGGTTTTCTAGTTTGAATAAAGAAAAGTGATAAATGACATTATTCCTTCTAATCTTTTGATGCTTTTACATCAAAATTTTGGTTTGAATAAATTGTTTTATAATATATCAATGTGTGTACCGGTAGGTTATCCTGTACTCCTCGACCCTGCTCAAGCATCCCTTCAGCCTGACCGTGTTCGAGGACTTGATGTACTGGTCCGACTGGCACACGCACGCCATCTACCAGGCGGATAAATTTAATGGATCTAATCCTACTCCAGTCACTAGCACTCATATGGTTAGTACATGATTTTAAAGGATTGTTTAGTAATGTATGAAGGGGCTAAATATATACTAATTTTATATCAATAAAGGATTTTAAAAAATAGTGGAATGGACCGACACAATCTATTTAGACGGTTTAGTTAAAAATAAAATAAAAACGTTTCATTCAACTCAGCTGTATTTCTCAACTGGAAAATAAACTCTTCATTCGGAAAAATGGCGCGAGTTTTTTTTACGGATTTAACGGTATTTCCATTCCGATCAAAAAAAACTTTAAATTATTATTCTCGTTTTACAAAGTTAAAACTCTAAGAAAAATAAAGTTTATTCTATAGTAAAGAGATGCACAGTATAACAGTAAAGTATGAAGTAAGTTAATATATATTGTGTACAGAAAAATATTTTTAGCTTTAGTGAAACTTTACTCGGATTAATCAAAAAAAAATGAATAAAAATTGCTTGTAGAAATTCAAATGTTAAGTTTGAATTTGTTTGTAGAACATATTTAATTTATTCTAAGTGTAATATTCTAAATTATAAAGTTACTCAAATTAATTATATTTCAAGTTTTTAATTATCTCTCTGAGTCTGACTGAGAAATATTTAAACTTATTCATTCGTAAACAGATGAAATGCCCGGCGTTGGCGAGGTTTACATTATTACACAAAGTTACTTCAGCCGTTTACCCGCGCTTGGTATTAAAACATGATTTTAGCTTAAGTACCCGGCGTTGCCTGTGGAATAAAAAAATTCCAATGTCATCCCCAGGCTACCCATGGGTTCCCTCAAAAAAGTTCAGCCGTTTTGTCAGCTAGAGCAAATATAAATATAAATAAATATATATGTCATGAGCAAAGAGCTTTATCAAATAGATTGCTCAAGTACTTTTTTCTGTAGTTTTACATTGTAACTATTTTTGTTGAAAGTTTACATAAATAAAGTTTGTATGACAAAATTGAAAGTAACTGCAAATTTTAATTGTGAAGTAACATCAAAAATTGATACAGGGCAACCCTGTACTAATTACTTCACAATTAAAATTTGAAGTTAAACTTTCAATTTTGCCATACAAAAATATTAAAAAGTTCTCATACACTTAATTCTAAAGAAATTAGAACTATACTATTTATTCTTTTAAAGAATTTATCAAGATATTATTGACACTTTTATTCATTAAAAAATTACCAATTCGATGAATTATTACAGAAGGAGATGCCGATGACAGTTCACATGTACCATCCTCTCCGACAACCGGAGCTACCAAACCATTGTATCCCAGTTAACGGAGAATGCTCTCACTTCTGCGTCCCAGCTCCGAGAATAACTGAGAATTCTGCCAAAACGGCCTGCGTATGTCCGATGGACCTGGAGCTGGACGCGGATCATAAAACCTGCGTGAGAACCACTATTGAAGGTAAAGTGTAGTGAATATAACCTTTACAAAAAACATGTCGAATGTTGAAGAAATTTTGTTTAGCCTATTTTACCCCCCGAGTAGCCAATTTGATCCAGCTTATTATACATATATATATATTGATTACGATATCCCATGGCTGACTTTAAAACCACTTTATACGTATTCAATATTATGCTTGGCTGTAGGCGTAATTTTGAGTGACCCTCCAGCTGTAGAGAAATGTCTCCGATTTACAACAGTACTCTTTAAACCTTCAACAGTGGCGCAACTAGGGGGGGGGCGAACCGAGTTTCGCCCCCCCCTCAGCATTTTTCGCCCCCCCCTCGCCCCCCCCTCGACCCCGACACTATTTACTATAATTTTTGATTTTTGGCGCAGTTTAAACAAATCTGGTCTACTATATTTGAAAAAAAAAAAATTTAATTATTATTAAAACAATTTTCTGTAAAAAAATTATTATTATATTTCAACTTTTATATCATGATTCATGGTTAAATCCATAGTTGTGTGACTCAAGCTGTTCAGGGTCAAGGAATACATATATTTGTGTACACACAGTATACCTATACTCTTCGTAATTCAAAGTTCANATTTTGATAAAGGAGATAGGGTAGATATGCTTTGTGAGAAACCCTATAGAAAGGGTAGATATGCTTTGTGATAAACCCTATAGATAGGTAGATATGCTTTGTGATAAACCCTATAGATAGGGTAGATATGCTTTTCACAAACATTTTAAGTTAGCAATAAAGGCAGTGTATATGAATAAAGCGATATTTAAAGTAGTTTAAATTTCTGGCCTTCTTTCTATTCCACATCTACAATACAATTTGTTTAAAACTTACCAAGTATATTAACTTTTTAACAGAACATCGCAAATAAAAGTCCTATTTTTCCAGTGAATGTAACAAAGAAAATGCAAAAAACACATTTTCAAATTTCATATTTTGTTCATTAACCCTCATCTCTAAGTACCTAAGATGGTTAATGAATGTTAAATACTGAATAACCGGCACTGTATGATCTAAACTTAGTTCTAAGTATACCCTCTCCCCTTCCCTCTCCGCTGTATTTATATTAGCATTTTACACATTTTTTATCTTGTATTTCTCATTCTGGGAATATATAAAAGAGATTAATCATTCTTTTTTGGTTCATCTGTAAAATGAATTGAAATTTTGTAAATTAGTTTTCAAGATGGACCTTTTTGGTCTCAGTAGAAGTAATTCAAGAATTTGTTTAGTTGACTCCCCTGAGACGTATAATATACCCGGAGAGGATGAAGATAAATCTGCTCTGGTTGCTCCAAGTGTGGAGCTGACCAATGTCTCCGGAATGTTGATCGGTTGCTCTGCTGCTGTCATGGTGATTATGATCATGGTAAGCTAAAAACCATCAACCTGCTAGAAAACAAATATCACAATCGTCAACATGCTTGCAGTTTGGTTTGGGAAAGCAAACTGGCGGACATGAATGGAACGGATATTTAATTACATGGTTATTATTTAAATATGATGATTCCAAGGTTAGAAATAGTCGGTTAATATGGCTCATTTTTTTATTTTACAAAAAAAAACGATACAAGGTTATAATTTCAAAGAATCATGATCATGTAGCCAATTTGATCCAGCTTATTATACATATATATATATATATATATATATATACTTTTTATCTAAACTTTTACATTTTAAAATAAATTTCAACATTTTACCATATGTAAAATATCAAATTCAGCAATGAAAATAAATAATTGGTAAGAAGACAAAAATTTCCTGGTTCAAAATTTATTTAAAATATAAAAGATGCATGGTAATTTGAGTAGCATAAAACAAATTAAGAAGTCAATAAAAATAAACTTCTTACCAAACCTCTATATATCTTGAAAGCAATAAATATATACCTTTCACTGATAAACCGTCAACCCCTCAACATAAATTCTCTCAGATAAATGAAACCATGGAGCAAAAAGATTAGAAGAAAGGAGAGAAGAAAAATAATAGAGAAAGAGCAAAGGCTTTGAAAAGAGTGTTGAAAAAAGAATAATAATAAGACGAAGTGGAGAAGGGGAACTAGGGAAGTGGAGAAGAGGAACTAGGGAAGTGGAGAAGGAGAACTAGGGAAGTGGAGAAGAGGAACTAAGAAAAGAGAGAAGGAGAACTAGGGAAGTGGAGAAAGGGAACTAGGGAAGTGGAGAAGGGAAACTAAGGTAGTTGAGAAGGGGAACTAGGGAAGTAGAGAAGGGGAACTAAGGAAGTGGAGAAGGGGAACTAGGAAAGTGGAGAAGCGGAACTAGGGAAGTGGAGAAGGGGAACTAAGGAAGTGGAGAAGGGGAACTAGGGTAGTGGAGAAGGGGAACAAGCGAAGTGGAGAACGGGTGGCTAAACAAATTATATTTAATACTTTTAATACCATGGGACTGAGGATTCACTGAATTTTCCAAAATAAACTTTAGAGAACATTTTTTATGTTTTCGAGAGAAAATTTTGATAAAGGCTTTGTACCCTGGAGGATTGGGGCTGGGAGGGACGGGGGAAGGAGGGAAGAAAGGAGGGAAGGAGGTCTGAATTAATCTAACTAAGTTTTCCAAACATAAATCTCCTTCAGATTCTTATAAAAGTGATTTTACTCGAGATTTCACGAGTTCCTGGAAAGTTTCAGCTAATGTAATGTCGTCATTTCATTAAAGTGAATTAAAAGCAATTTAATAATCTCAAAATTGTAGATTTATGTGGTTTAAATGGTGGCTATAATTTGTTTGTTTTGAATTAATGACGACATTTTTTTACAGTATTTATGTGTGCGTGGTGTCCATCAAAGAATTCCTTTAGAAGAGAATTAATGTTGGAAATGTTAAGACTTTTGAAGAAAATATTTTTTCTAGAGAGACTTCTTAAAATACAGGAAATATCGAAATTTAGTTTAAAGGGATCATCAAATTATCAAATTAAGGAAAGCAATAAAGGAATTGATTTTTTGCCACAAACTCAAATCTTCTGATCCCAATATCTTTGCAACCTGATGGTGCAAACCTTTGATATTTCAATCTTAGATTAATTTATCCATAAGTATTAATATTTTGAAATATCTAAGGTCTACGACATTACAAAGATATAGAGATTAGAAAATCAGAGCTTGTGGCAAAAACTCAACTCCTTTGTTCCAATTCCTTCCCTTGTCTCATGCTGCAACAATATGCGAGGCTATTTTATATTTAAGCATCTTAACATTTGAAAATTTTGAAATAAAGGGTTGAAATTAATTAAAAAATTTCTAGATTCCTTTCTGTTTAATTTTATAGTTTTGTTTCTCTAGGTTGGAGTATATCTGTATAGGAGACAGCACCTGAAAAGACTTCCAACCATAAACTTTGATAATCCTGTGTACAAGAGAGGAGGCGGAGAAGTTGAACCCAACCTAGAGAGAGTTTATATTCAACGAGAGAACGATTATATCGATATTGCGATCAATGAAACTCAGGTAATATTCTCTAAGTGTGGTATTGAAAATTGACAGGATAATTGAATAATTCACAATTGTTAATTTCTTCAAATCGACCGATACTCTACACTCTGTTGGAGTTAAGCAAAAAAAAAGACCCAGTGAAATTCAACTAAAACCTGGGAGTAAACGTTAAAAAACAAGAAATGACGTTGGAACTCATTTATGCGACAGCGCAATCAAATTTTAGTTTGAAGCGATTAATTGTTTAATCAGTGAATAACAGCTGACTCGTGTATTAAAGATCTCTTACTGACAAAAAACAGATATTGGTGGTCTTTGATTGGTCAATGTTGTTAGCAGACTAACCTCTCACTTTTTAAATGTACAAACCATTTTTGATGAGATTAATTTTTCCTTGTTCGTGGTGTATCTTCCTATTCCTATATTTTCCTGGTTCGTGGTGTATCTTCATTGTCCTATATTTTCCTGGTTCGTGGTGTATCTTCATTGTCCTATATTTTCCTGGTTCGTGGTGTATCTCCCTTGTCCTTTATTATTTTCCTGGTTCGTGGTGTATCTTCATTGTTCTATTTTTTCCTGGTTCGTGATGTATCTTCCTTATCCTATATTTTCCTGGTTCGTGGTGTATCTTCCTTGTCCTATATTTTCCTGGTTCGCATGGTGTATCTTCCTTGTCCTATATTTTCCTGGTTCCTGGTGTATCATCCTTGTCCTGGTTCGTGCTGTATCTTCCTTGTCCTATATTATTGTTGTTTTCAGCTCTGAATTTAAATTACACTTTTAACTACAATTTTAGTTATCAAAGTTTAGATATTTATTTTATAAATCTAAACAAATAAGAAGAACTTGGGAAAATAGAGAAAAATAAATGACACTCTCTCTCTACAATTTAGCAAAAGAAATATTTTTCTTAAACTATTAGATATTCCGAAATTGAAAATATGTTATATTTTATATTTTATCTTATTACGTTCATCTTCAGTGTTTACTTTAGCCCGGGTATAAGCTGGAGTGTATTCTAAGCATAATCTTGCAATCTATCAAAATTTAAAGTTTACAAAAAGCAGGAGAACGGGGGGAGAGACACATCTGTGCAACGGTTTAATGTCATTAGTTTCAGGCAGAAAGGAACTAAACAATTGTCTCAAATTCTAATTTTCTAATTCTTTGAAATATGTTTAATATTTCAAACTAAGAATTCTGCTAGATCTAAAGTTAAAAAGGTTAAAATGTCAAAAGTCTACAATATCTGTTTGCAAAGGAATAAAAAAATTGAGTTTGAGAAAACTGTTCAGTTTTGCTGTGACTTAAAACTAATGGTTTAAAAGGGTGTTGAAATTTAACTATTTATAACACAGTTATTTTGGTACCACATACTTTAATTTTTTTTAACAGAAATTGTCTCTTCTTCGAGAAGGTTCAAGCCTTTTTAGATTTAATTTTGTCCCGCAATAATAAAATATAATCTAAAAAGGCGAGAACCATCGAGATAGAGAGAAAATTTAAGTACAAAAACTTTATAGCACGTCGTGCCAAAACAATAATGTTATAGGTGATTTTATGAAACGTTTGTGTACTTATTTCAATGGCTATTTCTAGATCAAATAAGCTTTGAAACAAAGCAGAAGTAAAAATATAAAGTTGATTTCAATTTTATTTTTATTTCAATTTAAAAAAAATATTTTGGAAATATCCTAAATTTTTTGAAGAAAATCCGGGAACCAATCAAAACTTTATAGCACGTGCTATAATGTACAGCTAATTTAACTTTATAGCACGATGATTACTTTATAGCACTTTTATATTCACATTTATTTTATCTCAAGGCTTAATTATTTTATCCGATCATAATGAAATTAATATCTCAATATCTCTATGATGTCATGTCAGTTCCATTCATAAGAGATAAAGATCCGTCATTCAGTCGCAGAGCAGGATTGAGCATGAATTCGATAAGTATTTAAAGGGAGTGTTCGCGAAAAATGAAAGGGGGTATAGGCTTAATGCGATAAAAAAGCGCTTTTGATCGCTACTAATCTTACTTCTATCTGTTGCGTCTATAAGGAGAAA